TGTCGACCGCCTCGACTACATCAAGGGTGTCCCTCAGAAGCTCCATGCATTGGAGGTCTTTTTGACGGAACACCCCGAGTGGATCGGCAAAATCGTGCTGGTTCAGGTCGCCGTGCCTTCAAGGCAGGACGTCGAGGAGTACCAAAATCTGCGCGCCGTGGTAAACGAGCTTGTCGGTCGTATCAACGGAAAGTTCGGGACCATCGAATTTATGCCCATTCACTTCCTTCACCAGAGTGTCTCCTTCGACGAGCTCACAGCACTATACGCCGTATCCGATGTCTGCCTCGTTTCCTCCACGCGCGATGGCATGAACCTGGTCTCGTACGAGTATATCGCTACTCAGCGCGAGCGTCACGGTGTCATGATCCTGTCCGAGTTCACCGGTGCCGCCCAGTCCCTCAATGGTTCTCTCATCGTCAATCCGTGGAACACTGAGGAGTTGGCAAACGCCATCCACGATGCCGTGACCATGTCTCCCGAGCAGCGTGAGACCAACTACAAGAAGCTCGAGCGCTACGTCTTCAAGTACACGTCGTCTTGGTGGGGACAGTCCTTCGTTGCCGAGATGACTCGTCTTTCCCACGAGGCAACGCAGTCCAAGACTTTGAAGAACATTGGCGGCAATGTAGTTGGTCAGGTCACCAAGGCGATTCAGGGCGCAGTCGACAGCGTCACCGGGAACAAGGACAGCGCAGAAGATGCAAAGGAGACGAATGCGGAGAAGCAAGAAGCATAACGGCCACTTGTAAATCCAAAAACTTGCATGCCCAGTTATCCACTTCTTTACTGGACGAGAGCCGTCGGAGACGACGGCTGATTAACGAAAGCATGATTGAAAGAGAGAAAAGAAGAAAACGTTGCTCTCCTCGGGCAAAAGATTAGCGGGGGGTGAAGCATACATGATCGGAAACAATGGCATCGAGCCGAGCGGAGTTTTTGGGGGAGCTTTTTACCATATGCTTTTGTTTTAATTTCTGATGCTGGCAAGAGGGATATGGCAGGGTCGCATGAGAGAAAGTGTGTCGTACATGACGTCTATCCAATGCATTTGTCTCAATTTAGTTTATTTTTCCAGGGGGGCATCACCGTATTAGACTATCTACCTACTCCACGAGAGTTATGGAACATCACAAGTGACTCGTCCACGATAGATCAAGCGCATACTAGGAGCATTTCAGAGTTAATGTGAATTGAAAAAGAAAGGCCAATCTTGCATTTGCTAAAACTAGAAAGGGGGGTGGAACAAACTATCATAGCTTGCTCACCTTCGGAAGCTCTCAAAAGGTATCTAGAAAAGTACCCACTCACCTTGGCGGGATGTCAAGAGAGAGGAGGGTGACGAAGCGAAAAGCAGACTCTTGAGAGTATTTGGCGGTACATAGCAAAAGGAAACGTAGAAGGGTAAACGTATTGTGCTGTCAGTCCCCCTCCGTCTCACGTCCATCTTCACTCAACCCGGAAAACGCCACCGTAGGAGTCAAAATAATCCAACATGAACGCATCACACGTAACACACAAAAGGAAAACCCCCTCGCCTGACTCAATACGGCGACGCGACAATGTCCTCCTTGCCCAGCTTGTATCGACCGCTCTTGGGCGTCGTGATCCGTCCGGAGTCTCTGCGGCCCATGCTGAGCTGTGCAAAGTTGCCGGCGATGCTCTCACGGGTAGGGCGTTTGAGACCCTGCTTGCCGACCATGTTGACCTCGTTTGGCAAGGCGACAATGACGTTCTTGTCCGTTCCAAACTTGAAGTCGTCGGCCTTGACCTCCTCGGCATAGCGCTTGATGCGGTAAGCGGCCTTGGCTCCGCGGAGAACCTTCTTCAGGCTCCACTCGACAATGTACGGGCCGGTAGCGGTGATGATGCTTGTCTCCTCCGCGCCCTCGCCAGCGTTGAAGCGCGCCGGTGTGAATGAGACAGGCTTGCCGGTCTCGTGGGCAAATTGAGCAACATGCTCGGGCGTCAGGGCCAGACGGCGGGGTTGAGGCTTGTCGGAGGCAGCGAACGACTTCTCGAAACCAAGCTTTCCCTCGTTCTTGCCGGACTTCTGCATCGCGTCAATGAGCAGGATGTATGTCCGACAGGTGGCTAGGACCCAGCGGCCATCAGCGGATGTGTCCAGACCAAGGATGGCTTCACCGAGAGCGGGAATGTGAGTCTTGGCGTTGATTCCGAGGCGATCGAAGAGGCGAACATCACCCTTGTTGGAAGCGACGGCGATGTATCCCTTCTCCGTAGTAGAGATAGCCGAGAAGTCATTCTTGGAAACGTACTGCTTCAGTTGAGAATCGACTAGCTTAGTGCCGGACAAACGGGGGTCGACACGATAGAGGGCATTCTTTGAGATACCAAGGAACGTCGGCTCGTGGGTCATCTGAGCGAACTTGTTCTCGGGTGCAAAGTTGAGAACGGGAATATCCTCGTGAACGTTCCACTCATCGACAACCTTGCCGTACTCAAGATCCATGCGGTAAAGCTTGTTGGGATCCGACTCATTTTGGAGAATCATGTTGCGATCCTCGTTATGAAGCATGACCTTTTTGGGGCTGAACAGTGTGCCCTTGGGAGTCTCGACCTTGGAAATGTTGGTGGAGAACTCAAGGTTGTTGTTCGGCGTGTGCTTGAAGACGCCAATCTTGGATCCACGAACAACGAAGGAACGGTCATGCTTGTAGCCAACGGCAAGCTGGGAGTTGACGTTGCCATCCTCTTCCTTAGTCTCAACATCGTCATCCTCTTCGTCGCTGTCGTAATGCTCGCTACGCTGCGCATCGTCCTCTGCATCTTCGTACTCTTCATCCTCTTCCTCCTCCTCCTGCTCTTCAGGGGTATCTTCCATAACCAAGTCATTAAAGGCGGACGTGATGTACTCCTGTTCTCTGTCCGTCTTCTTCTCCCACTTGACCTCGTTCAGCTGCTCCCACAAAGCGCGGAGAAGAGCTTCTTGGAAGCGTTCCAAGGTCGGCTGGTCTTTGAAACGAAGTAGCCAGGAGTATGCCGATCCATCAGCTGCGAAATGGTTGAAGATGAAAGACAAGAACTCGAAGTTGAAGACGGGGTTGATGTCGGCGATAATTGGGATGCCTAAGAAGGCTCGGTCCTCGCCTTCAATTTGCAGCCAGTACTCCCATTTTCCAACCTCGGTGACGGTTGCGGTGACAGCGGCAGCTTGCTGGATGAAAGAGCCGGAGGGGTGGTCGTAAAAGTGAAGCTCACAGCTCTCGGCAGCGTAAGTATCGAGAGCCTCTGGAGCCTCGGCTGACTTAGGGGGACCGGTCGGCTTGGATTTCTTCTCCGGTGTGACAGGCATCTTGGCAGGCGTCTTCGTAGGGGTCTGGACAAGTGATTGCCCTTCCTTCTTTGTAGGTGTACCGATGGGGTCTTGCGGCACAAACAGGCTATCGGCAGACTCGATCGATCTGACGAGAGTAGGACTGTGGATGGGACTCGCGGGAGGAATAGGCTGCTCGTCTTCGAATTCGAACTGCTTGAGATCGACTTCGGATGCAGTTGTGTGCGGCTTACGGTACTTGCGCTCGTATTGGCACTCCTTGGCGACACGCTCGAATTGCGAAACTTGACCGGGAGACACAACGTTGTCGCAAACGAACTCGTAGACGTCACCGGTATCACCACTCAGGTCTCTCCAGGCCAAAATCTTCTCCTTTCCTTCCCGGATCTCGATGCGGAAGTGAAGAGCCTCGTCGAGCAAGAAGGTCTTCTCGTCTCTTTCGGCGGCAGCAAGCGCGTCGATCTCGGCGTCCTCTCCTTCCTCCTCAGCTAGAAGCTCGGCCTCGCCTTCCTCGTAAACTCTCTGTACCACGAGCTGGTATTGGAAATCCTGCGCCGTTCGTCGGATGCGGGCGGCGGCGTCCTTGAAGATGAGTTCGGAGTAGCCCTTCGGCGAGAGAGGGCGAACAAGGTAGAGTTGTCCTTGGGGGAGCTCGATGAGAGATTCTTGGTTGCTAGATCCAAAGATGAGTTTGCCAACTACAATAGAGAAAGAACGGGTTGTTAGTATTTGAGACCGGTTTCGAGATATCGCAAACGGGCGCGATAGTCAGAAATCGAAAAGGCGTTGATCGCGGAATGGTGACGACGAATGAAGCCTAGCGAATGATTCACATGCGCCTCGCCGTCGTTGGCGGGAGAAGGCAAAGCGGCGAACGCTCCGAGTGACGGGTGAGTAGCGGGGTAAACTTACCGTTTCTGAGGACAAACATCTTGAAGTTTGGGGCTTGTTTGGAAGCTGGGTTGATCGTGGGCAGAGAGCTGTGGCGACGTGGTTTTGTATCTTTGCGAAGCAAGCCCGGCCGCTGGATTGATCAAAGGACAAAGAGACGGAAAGTCCCAGACCTTGGCCACGAAACGAAAGTGATCAGGCACTAGGTAAGAAAATGCGTCATAAGAGGCAGCTTTTGAGTTGGGGTTCAGATGATGGAGGGGTGAAATGGTCTGTGGCTGTGCACGTCCCTTTTCTCTCCCATTTTTATTTGCCACGGCAACACACAAGGCCCCTGAGCCTCCGAGGAAGGGTGAGCCACGGGACCGGGGTATCACGTGGGGCACCGGCACCGGCCGGTCCAGACCCACCCGGACCCTTCTGCCCTTCCAGGTTCCCGTCTTTCCATGGCCTCTCCGTAATGTCGCCACCGCTAGTCGTGAGTAATAAGCTGTTGGAGGCCTCAGCTTTACTTTTAACAACGACAACCTGCCTCATGTCTTTTCAACACCTTTCCATCTGTAAACAAAATCGAAGCAGCCAACGAACGTAAGGTAGGCACGTCTGACATGTCACTGGTTTACACGTATGCAGATACTGGCATCCGGAGGAAGAGATGTGATGGGAACCGTTTGATCAAATTCCACCTATTCCTTTTCGCTGCAGTAAACATTAGGTCCGAAATCTGTAGCCTTATTGGATATCATCACAAACGGGATTTTTTGTTTCTTTTCTTCCAGGGTTGAGCATAATTTCAAAAGAGATGAGGCTTTGGTCATTTTTAAAATCCAAGCCATTTACGAGACAGGTATTTCAGCATGTCAAATTTTCGAGACAAACTTGACGAAAAATTCCTGACACGAGCTATCATTCTGCACGGTTTTTACAATGACTGTGTCCTGCGCATACATCCAATCGTGAACAGAATGCAGTGCTGGTAGATACAAGTAGAACGGATGAAAGGTAACACAAGTCCTCAAATTCAGAGTGATTACAATTCCTCAGCCACGGGCGCCTCCTCAACTCGCCCCAGCGCCTCTTGCGCGTCATCGACATCGATCTTCTCGAGCGTCTCCTTGGCCTCTGAGAAATCATCTGCAATTAACTTTGCAATATTCATCCCCATCAACGCACTGGTCTCCATACACGAGATGAAGCTTTCGATGCCAGAAAGATAGTAAAGTCCGTCCCTGAGGATGGGGTCCTGGAAGGTAACTCGCGGGTACTCAATGGGGTACGAGTTGAACACGTGCGGGTGGTACCAAGAGATGGGTTCAACAGTGCGCTGGCCGCTTTCTCCATTCTTGTCTCCCGCAATGATGGAAGCCGGCACTTCGACGCCAAGCAGTTTTGACAGGAACTCTGCGGTGACCATCTTGGGAGAGAAGATCTTGTAGAGGAACTCGTCCTTGAGAGTGTCGGGATTCGTGACGGTTCTAAGGGTGCTGACGGAGTAGAAGCCAGCCTTGCCAGCACCTTCAGATCCGGCTTTTGCCTCATCGTCGGGGCCAAGAGTGGTCAGGACCGAGTCGGGGGCCTTGGAACCAGGTTCCAGACCGAAAAACTCCGGCGAGAGGTGAAACGGCGAGGCGAACAGGGTGACGTGAAGCTTAGTGTAAGGAACTTCGTCAATCTTGTGCTGGAAAAGATCCTCTGAGACGCTAATATCTCCATACTGCCACGGTGTCGCAATGACGACGTTGTCGAAAGCAATCGGGTACTGGTCCGCCTCTGTCTCGGCTTCGGCGTGGGCGTCTTTGGTCGAAAGGAGATACTTGGAGCTGGAAGGGCTAGACTTCACTGCAATGGATGTCACTGAAGTGTTGCGGCGCAAGGTTGCATTGCTCCTTTGAAGCATTGTCTGGAAGACCTGCCAGTTGCCCCCAATGACTTGCCGGGCACCTTCAGGTGCAAGAGAGACCATGGTCTCAAGGCCATGGATGTACTTCAGGTTAGATGCGTAGTTAACTCTGGTGGCTGCCTGGATGATATCGTGGGAGAACAGCTCACTGATCTATCACAAGACAATTAGTGTATGAAACGTCATAGAGAATCATGCCCTGCTTACATCGTTGTTGGCGAGAAACTCCTCCCCTGTAACGGAAGTTGCCTTCAAAAGATCCAGCTCGAAGACTCTTTGCGTGAGTGATCGGAAAGGAAAGTGAGGTTTCTCATAGAGCTGCAAAAAGGTCGCAACGGTCGACTGCACGAGCTTCTGCGCCTTGTAAGGAGCCGTGCCGTATTTCCAGAAGAGCTTGGCCAAGTTCCACCAGTTCCAGGAGCTGTCGTCTTGGGAGAAGACAAACTTCTCCCCGTCCCAAATGCCCAGGAAGCCATCACTGCCAGACTCAGGCTCCTTCAGGGGAAGACCAAAGTTGATGCTGGCATTGTAGATGATGTGATTGGCCTCGATGAAGATGGAGGCGCCCAACTCGACGGGCTCGAGCGGGTTGCCGTAAGCGTCTACAGTTAACGTTCGGCCTCCTACACGATCGGTTTTCTCAAATACTGTGATGTTTACAGGAAGACCTTCGGCCTCGGCGAACTTTTGGAGGTAGTAGGCCGCTGAGGAACCGCCAGCACCAGCTCCTAGATATCGTGTGTCAGTATAGGGTTAAGTGGCGACGCGGCTGATGTTATGAACCAAGCATCGGATCTTCAAAGGCTTATACGAAGTAGCGTTTACGTACCAATGATGGCCACCTGCTTTATATGGCTTTCGACGACAACCTGCTCAAGTTCAGTCGCAGGAATGGATTGTGTCAAGCTGAGCGCGGACAGCACAGCTGAGAGCTTGGACCCCCACATCATGCCGCGTAGGTTGAGGGTTACAAATACGGAATCACAGAACTAGATGAAGACGATGAAAGGGAGAGATGGAAATGACTAGACAAAAGGAGCTGGGTGAGACAGAAGTACGGTTAAGTACGCTTGGAAGATGAACAGGATGAAAGGAGAGCATGAAATAGATTCGTCATATGTGAGGTGTCTCCGGCATGTCTCCGGGAGCTCCCCAAATGAATTAAACTCAGGGTGAGTAAACAAACCGCCGCTTTACGTTGGTTGCTGTCGTATTTAGTGTGGTTGAAGCTGGCCTTCTGCATACGCTAAGGTGCCAGAAAGCGATGTGGTAGCAAATGAACTGGCCGTACATAATTCTTTTACCTGATTTTCCGCATCACGTTCATCAGAGAAAATGTTGTCTGAGTACATTTCGAAAATCTTGACACCTATCAAGGGGTTTGGTCTTCACGACTACCTATGAGTGCTAAGGAAGGAAGGAATGTCACTGGCATAAGCTCCGGGTAAAGCAGCGGTGTATTCTTGGGGTGAAGGTTTCATTGCAGTGGTCCTCTAGGGGACCCCCAAGTCCCCACGTCCCGAGCTCCCGCTCTCAGCTTGCAGTCGCCCCATCGAGAGGCGCTAACGACGCACGGATCATGGTACAGTTGCTGACAGATGCAATGAACGATCGCATTCCATCGAGTACATAGTGCGATATGCTTCTATACATATATTCACGTAGAGATAATTAGTCAAGAATGGAGCACAGCAGCACCAAGTGCCAGGCACCCACCACAAAGCTGGGAATTAGCGAGCCAGCACCTTCTACCAGTGCCTGACCGCCTGCCACCTCGAGGCAGAAAAAAAGTCACCAGCAGAGTCCCGCATCTGAAGTTCCCGGGGCCAGGTCAATCTCGAGAACACTCCACGTCAGGTCGCTAATCCAATAACCTTACCGACCGATACCCCCTCACGAACCCCTCGACGACCTCAAGCCAACATGTCTGCGGCGCAACTGCTCAACCCCAAGGCCGAATCGAGGGTGCGCAACCCTTCCCCTGTCGATATTGTTTGTAATGCTAACGGCTAGTGCAGCGGCGGGGTGAAGCCCTGAAGGTCAACATCAGTGCTGGTGAAGGCCTCCAGGATGTCCTCAAGTCCAACCTCGGCCCTCTGGGCACCATCAAGATGTTAGTTCGTCGCTGTTCATGTCTTCAAGATAGATGCTAATATTGATAGGCTTGTCGATGGCTCCGGTCAAGTGCGAACTATTACCCCTCTTCCCCTGAATCCCCACCGCTAATGCGCCGCCGAATAGATCAAGTTGACAAAAGACGGAAACGTTCTCCTCCGCGAGATGCAAATACAGAACCCTACTGCCGTCATGATCGCCCGAGCTGCGACTGCACAAGATGATATCTGCGGAGACGGTACGACATCAGCTGTCCTCTTGATCGGAGAGCTCCTGAAGCAGGCGGATCGTTATATCTCGGAGGGACTGCACCCTAGAATTATTACGGATGGTTTCGAGATCGCCAAGAACGAGGCGTTGAAGGTGGGAACCTTATGTGCACGGATACTTGAACGATTATGCTGACGGGTGAATAGTTCCTCGACGGCTTCAAGCTCGAGAAGGAGGTCGACCGCGAGCTGCTTCTTTCCGTGGCCCGCACGTCGCTTTCCACCAAGCTCAACTCCAACCTTGCGGCCAAGCTCACCCCCGATATTGTCGATGCTGTCCTCGCTATCTACCAGGCCCCTGCCAAGCCCGATTTGCACATGGTTGAAATCATGAAGATGCAGCACCGGACCGCCTCCGACACCCAGTTGATCAAGGGTCTTGCCCTCGACCACGGCGCCCGCCACCCCGACATGCCCAAGCGCCTTGAGAACGCCTACATCTTGACGATGAACGTCAGCTTGGAGTACGAGAAGTCTGAGATCAACTCTGGATTCTTCTACTCCAGCGCAGAGCAGAGAGACAAGTTGGTGGAGAGCGAGCGCCGTTTCGTCGACGCTAAGCTCAAGAAGATTGTCGAGCTGAAGAAGGAAGTTTGCGGAAACGACCCCACCAAGAACTTTGTCATCATCAACCAGAAGGGTATTGACCCTCTGTCTCTCGACGTCCTGGCGAAGAACGGTATTCTCGCCCTGCGTCGTGCCAAGAGAAGAAACATGGAGAGATTGCAGCTCATCTGCGGCGGTATTGCACAGAACAGTGTTGACGACCTGTCACCCGAGTCCCTGGGATGGGCTGGTCTCGTCTACGAGCAGACTCTTGGCGAGGAGAAGTACACCTTTATTGAGGAGGTTAAGGAGCCCAAGTCCGTCACCCTTCTGATCAAGGGCCCCAACGCACACACCATCACTCAAGTCACGGACGCTGTCCGTGACGGTCTGCGCAGTGTCTACAATATGATTGTTGACAAGAGTGTTGTCCCCGGTGCCGGCGCTTTCCAGGTTGCCTGCGCGGCACACCTCAAGAGCGATGCCTTCTCCAAGACGGTGAAAGGTAAAGCCAAGTGGGGTGTCGAGGCTTTCGCCGATGCTCTTCTCATTATTCCCAAGACTCTCGCTGCCAATGCAGGTCTTGACATCCAGGATGCTCGTAAGTCTAAATCACTCTCGGTGTATCGTAATGGTTTACTAACGTATAACAGTCGCTGCTATGCAGGATGAGCACGCTGATGGCAACATCGTGGGCTTGGACCTGGCAACGGGTGAGCCTATGGACGCAGAGCTCGAGGGTATCTTCGACTCCTTCAGAGTACTCAGAAACTGCATCGCCTCGAGCTCAAGCATTGCATCCAACCTGCTCCTGTGCGACGAATTGCTGAAGGCAAGACAGATGGGCAGAGCGGGAGGTCCTGGCCCTGGTATGGACGGTCCTGAGGAGTAAAGAGTTTGATGGATTCCAATGTAAAAAGTGTTGGCACGGTAGACAAAAGGCGTTGATCTTAGACCTGTCAAAGCTGAGAACTGGAATGATATCCAAACTTGAAGACAAGATATTGCATTCGATTTCGTGAAGTATATTAACTTGACGTATTTAGGGCAGTTCAGGGGCAGCAGCATGACCTTCCCTCGTTTTGCTACCCCTCGCTGGAGGAGGGCGGGCAAGGTGCGATAAGATAAGCCCCGCATCGAAATATTTCGAGCGCCAAAAAATCTTGACCCCACGTACCCAGCCCAACCCGTCAGTCTCGCATTTTCATACCAATATACAAAACCATGGCAGATTACGACAGTGATTCCTCCGAGCAGGAGTTCACCGAGACCAATGTGCTCCTCGGTTACGCCAGCAAAGATGCCGACGATGACACCATCAGTCGTCTCGGCGGTCAACCAGTGAGTCCCCTTGTTGCGCATCGAGGAACATGGACGACGGGCCCTGCAGATTGACTGACACGCGGATTCTACTCCCAGGACTGGTTGAACCCCGAACAACCAGCCTCGGCAGCCCTCGCGCGCTGTAAAGTGTGCAACGAAATCATGGTCCAGCTCCTCCAACTCAACGGCGAGCTCCCCGAAAAGTTCCCCGGCCACGAGCGTCGCCTGTATGTCTTCGCCTGCCGTAAAGCGAGCTGCAGGCGCAAGCAGGGCAGCATCCGCGCCGTCAGAGGTGTTAAGGTTTCCAAGGAGGCCCAGGCCGCAGCAGCAAAGAAGGCAGAAGTGAAGCCTCTGAAGAAAGTGGAGGAGAAGGAAGAGCCCAAGAAGGATATTAGCTCGGGACTCGGAAACGCGCTCTTTGGCGGCGGGTCCGGTGCGGCAAACCCATTTGGAGGCAACGCGAACCCTTTCAGCACGGGAGTCTCTTCGAGTAGCAGCCCCTTTGGCACCGCCGCCCCCTCGAACCCGTTCTCGAAGCCAGCCGAGCCTGTAGAGAAGAAGGAGGAGGCAGCAGATGACCCGGCCGCGTCCCTTCCCAAGACTTTCGCCGAGACCCTGAACCTTAATAACCCGCAAACAACCTCCGGTCCGCCCCCGCCGCCGGAGCCGTGGCCCGCGGCCGACGCCCTGCCCAAGCCGTACCCGATTTCCTACCTTGCGGACGCGGAGTTCGAGACGCTCGACCCAGAACCCATGCCCGTGCCGCAGAACGCGCGGATGGAGGTGGATACTGAAGGCGGTAGCGGAGGCGGAGGCGACTTGAAGGACGTCTTTGAGTCATCCATGGACGCAGCGTTTCAAAAGTTTGCGGACCGCATGGAGCAGAACCCGGAACAGTGTATCCGCTACGAGTTCAACGGTGCGCCGCTGTTGTATTCCAAGGCCGACGCCGTGGGCGCGAAGCTGGGCGCTGCTGCTGCTGGGGGAATGACGCGGTGTGGAAACTGTGGTGCTAAGCGGGTGTTTGAGGTGCAGATGACGCCGCATGCCATTACGGAGCTGGAGGCAGAGGAGCTTTCGCTTGAGGGTATGGATTGGGGTACCATTATTGTTGGTGTCTGCGAGTCGGATTGTCAGACCAGGGGTGTCGAGGTTGGCGAGGCTGGGTATCTTGAGGAATGGTGTGGTGTTCAGTGGGAGGAGCTTTCGAAGCGATGAGATGATGTCTTACACGATGATGATCAAAAAGGGGCGGGTAGGGACAAAGGTTTTGCAGCACATAAGATAATGAGAAAGAAGCGTTTTTACACGACATTTCAAATATTGTGGCATGTCTCATATTCAGGGATATACTCTATGGCCCCCGATTCCAAAGTCAAAAGTGAACGCCGGTAATTTTTGCCGCCATGCTCTCTTCCAGCCCTAACTCCATATACGGAGCTTTTAGCAGCCAAGGGTCGTGGTATCAACCCTTGCGTCCCCTCTGTCTGTTCATCCTCACACCGAAGCCCTGCGATTGTCTTTTTCCTATTTCAAAAAGCCTTCTTTTACGCAGTCTCCTCCCATGATCTCCGAAGAATTCTCGAGAACATGTCGACGTTGACGTCCTCCCTGATCTCAGACTTCTTGGCCTCATTCTCAGCGTTCTTGGGGATGGTGACGACGCCGTTGTCGCCAACGGTCCAACCAGCGACCTCGGTGACGAACTTTGCGGTAGCGTCGCCGTCGAGGCCGAGCCACGACTCGAGCTGGGACAGACTGACCTCGCGGAAGGCCTGGGCGACCGAGTTGGCAATGTTGCTGCGGATGAGGTCCTCAAAGCCCGAGATGTCGGCGATCAGGTCGGCGCAGAGGTCGTCGCCGTCAATGGTGTTCCAGAAGCGGGCGTACTGGGAGCCCTCGAGCTGGCTGTTGAGGGTGCGCAGCTTGGCGACGGCCTCGTGGAGCTCGCCCTGGGCGATGACGGAGGGGTTGATGAGGTGCAGGGCGAGGGTGAACTGCGGCGAGGGAAACTGGGTCATGGCCTTGACGAGGATGTTGGTGACGACCTCATCCTTGAGACGGTCGGGGTTGAGCTGGTACCTGGGAGAGAAAAAGAAGACGATTGGTCAGCTGTCTGGTTCCATGATGATGCAAGCTTCGTATCCAAGTTTGTCTCAATATTGATATCCGGTATCGTTCAGTTAACACCATGTGCTGACTTCAGTTGCGACTGAGGGGTTCATGACGGAACAACCAGTGCATGTCAGGTAATAGGAAACGTTTACACGATCATCATATAAACCGGCGCAAGCCCAAGCAAGGGGGTCTACTAGCACCAACGTATATAGGGGACGCGTGGCGGCTAGGTATTTCGAGGTTGCGACTCACAGCTTCAGGAGTGTCCGGTTCGCATTGCAGTCGCAGTACTTCTGCTCGCACTGCTCCTGCAGGTAGGACTCGAGGTTGACGACAGCCTCGGGGTTGTACCGCTCGAGGCCATTGATGATGTTGACAATGTAGTCGGGCCGCTCGGGCGGATCTTCGCCGTTCAACATGATTGCTGGTTTTATGTGCGGCGTGGGGGGGTGTGAGAGGGTGGTTTTCGAGGTTCGGCGGGTTAGGAGAGGTATCGTAGAGGGGAAGGAAGAAATCGGTGCCGCTGGTGGGGCTTGGGCCGCCCTGGCGAAAGATTTCCAAAAGTTCGAGTGTGTTGTTGTGTGGACGTCGCTTGGGTCGTCGAATGAGGTTTAGCGCCGGAGGAAGGGTAAAGGTGTAGCCGCTCCTGCACCTTGACGGTCCAGGGGTCACCTTACCTAAGGACTTCTGCTGACTAAGGGTAAGATCTCCAGGGGTAAGGTGGCTGGCAAGGTGCACGTCCCCTCTTATTTAGATCACAGGCAGCGGCGTCATTGACTGAGACGGTTACAGGGGTGAGCAAAGCTACCGCAGCGGACAACTCGGTGATGAACTAACAACATGGCGAAGAGAATGAAGCAAAATTCGACTGGGCAGTTCTGATGCTAGCACGAAGCTTCATTTGCATCTGTTCCACTAGAATAATCACCCAATGTTTTCAATTCGTTTAACTCGATAAGCTTCTGCATTGGAAACCACCGTCATGCCCAGCCCAAATAAGAAGAGGAAATTGAACGATCAATCATCAACCTCCGTGCCCTCCAGGGGTTTGGAATACTTCTTTTCTAAGCAGAAGCAGAACGGCACATCGTCACCAAAACCCACGACGGAACCAACTCCGGAAGCTATCCCAAATGGCACGGGATTCAGCGATCTACAGCCGGAGTTGACGGATGAGGAGCTTGCCAGGAAACTGCAAGCGGAATGGGATGCTGAAGTGCAGAACTCAAGAGCAGAATCTACGCCCTGTCCTGAACCAGCAAAGGAATCGAGTCCAAGGTTGAATGAGACCAATGGAGGCGAAGCTACCGAGACAAAGTCTGGACCGAATGGGTCGCTGATATCCTCGGTTTTGCCAACTGTCACGCCGAAGACGAACACGCTTTCACTGTCCTCTGTGGCAAATGCCGAAGACACAGTTTCAGCAACCATACCACTGGATCAAAGTCCACTGACATTCGACCCTTCAGAATATGTCCCCCAGCTAAAGGCGTCATGGGCGGCAGAGGGAGGACACGCTTCCTACGCATTCCTCACCCGATGCTTCATCTTGGTGTCTGCTACACAAAGCCGCATCAAAATCGTGGATACTCTGGTCAATTGTATAAGAGTATTGATAGAAGCTGACCCGGAGAGCCTATTGCCCGCAGTCTGGCTTGCGACTAATTCCATCTCGCCCCCGTACATCTCCTTGGAGCTCGGTTTGGGAGGGTCAGCGATTTCCAAGGCGTTGAAGCAAGTGTGTGGACTAGACGGTCGGTCTCTGAAGACGCTTTACGACAAGCATGGTGATGCCGGGGACGTTGCATTTGAGGCAAAGAAGAAACAAAGCTTTACTCTGCGGAAACCGAAACCTTTGATCATCAAGGCTGTATACCAGTCTCTAGTCAAGATTGCCAATAGTCAAGGCCAAGGAAGCGGCGAAGCAAAGCAGAGAATTGTCGATCGACTGTTGCAAGATGCCCGCGGTGGTGAGGAGAGCAGGTTCATGGTCCGAACGCTATGTCAACATGTAAGTTCTGCTTCCCCCATGGCGTCTCCTACTTTGTACCTAATATTAGTAGCTGCGTATTGGTGCTGTCAAGACCACCATGTTGATTGCTCTTTCAAGAGCTTTCCTCCTTTCTCGCCCCTCGGGGGCCGAGTTCCCACTACGATCAGTCAAAGACCTTCAAAAATTAAAGAAGGAAGAGCTCGCTGAAGTATGGAGCAGGCCAGAGGAAATACTAAAGGCCTGCTTTGCGCGACGTCCCAACTATAACGACCTTGTACCCGTCTTGTTAGAGATTGGCGTCTGCGATGAGCTATTAGTTCGCTGTGATTTGACGCTACACATACCACTCCGACCCATGTTGGGAAGCATCACGAGAGACCTTTCGGAGATGCTCACGAAACTCCAGGGCAGAGACTTTGCCTGCGAATTCAAGTACGACGGCCAACGAGCGCAGATTCACTGCGATGAAAAGGGCAAAATCTCCATCTTCTCGAGACACCTCGAACTGATGACGGATAAGTACCCCGACTTGGTCGCATTGATGCCCAAAGTTCGGGGCGAAGGCGTCAATAGCTTCATCATGGAAGGCGAAGTGGTAGCCGTGGATAGCGAGACGGGAGATCTGAAAAATTTCCAGACACTGAGCAATCGAGCGCGAAAGGATGTCGCTATCGGCAGCGTGCAAGTCAACGTTTGCATGTTCGCCTTTGACCTCATGTTTCTCAACGGACAACCCCTGTTGAACCGGCCTTTTCGAGAAAGGAGAGAGCTCTTGCGGTCCATGTTTATCGAAGTTCCTCGTCAATTCACCTGGGTGAAGAGCCTAGACGCCACGTCACAGGACTCTGATGCTGTACTGGAATTTTTCAAGGCGGCAACCGATATCAAGTGCGAAGGCATCATGGTCAAAATCCTAGACAACTTGACCGATGTTCCCTACCAAGGTGACGGCGCAGTGGAAGCTGATGGCGAGGTTGCCGAAGAACCCAGAACGCCCTCAAAGTCGAAATCACGAAGCAAAGGCACCAAGGACGAAGAGGGCGCTCCGAAGAAGAAGGGCAGACGCAAGCCTCTCCTCGCCACATACGAGCCCGATAAACGTTTAGACTCGTGGTTAAAGGTTAAGAAGGACTACAACGCAAGCTTCGAGACATTAGACATGATTCCGGTAGCCGCCTGGCACGGATCAGGCCGCAAATCCAAGTGGTGGTCTCCGATCCTCATGGCCGTCCGCAATGAGGATAGCGGCGCCCTCGAGGTCGTGTGCAAGTGCATGTCTGGTTTCACCGACGCCTTCTACAAGTCGAACAGGGAACACTACGGCGACGGCGAGCTGGCCGAGAGGCAGAACACGCGCACGCAGAAGCCGGCGTTTGTCGAATACTCTGGCCCCGAGCCCGACGTGTGGTTCGAGCCTCAGGAGGTATGGGAGATGGCGTTTGCGGACATCACGCTGAGTCCAACGTACACCGCCGCCATTGGGCTCGTCAGCGACGAGCGTGGTTTGAGTCTACGGTTCCCTCGATTTTTGAAGAAGCGCGAGGATAAGAGCATGGACGAGGCGAGTACGAATGAGTTTCTTGCTGGGTTGTGGAGGAAGCAGGAGGCGAAGGCGCCGACGAAGGAAGGGCAGGGCAATGTTGTGGAGGAATTTGAGGAGTAGGATCAGACCAACACTCAAGAGATTGGCTAGCGAGCTCGCGACTATGTTACGGCAGAGTTGAGGTTATCAACTTGCCTTGTTGATCATGGGATTGGCGGGAAATCATATGATGGAGGGGTCCTCGGAGCCGATGTATTCTCCTGGTGACGTTCGGAGATAAACCCGGTGACTTGCTTCATAGGCTCTTCGCTCTTCTGGCTGCTTGGCGTCGTCAAATGACCCAGAGGATCCGGGGCTCGAAGAGCACCTTCCACATAGTTGTTGGCGTCGATGAGAAGCCTAGAAAAAGATAGACACAACACGAACGTTGTTTCTCAAGATACACAACAACTCTTGGCCATACTGGTGCACTTGAATCCCGTAACGCGTCGGGGCGGAACATCTGATCGACTTTCCGAGTCCATCCCACATGGGCCGGCAAGATAATGTCCTCCTATGAGAAGTTTACGCAGCCCGAGGCGTACCCGTTGAAGAGGACTGCTCATTGTCCGAATAACGACCTTCCAGTCCTTATATATCGTGGCGTTCTCCAACCGCTCAACGAGGACAGTGCCTCGGAAAGACTTCAGCGTCACGGCTGGGAGAAGAAGGTAAGCCTACACCGACTTACTAAGCCTCCGTATCTAAAGCCGACTGCATTGCTGAAGTATCCTCTTACTCACAGGGAACCTGGGGCACCATCAGTCTGAAGCACTTTCACCCAAACACACACGAGTGTTACGGTAAGTTTTACCTATGCTGGTTACAACTTCAACCCGACTGACTTAAAAGCAAGGCGTATTTCAAGGCAGCTCTGAACTAGTATTCGGTGAGGGGATTTCGGATGAATCCGGCAGCGGAGTTCGATGCGTAGTGCGAGCAGGCGACGTCGTCGTCGTCCCAGCAGGCGTGGGGCATGCGTCTGTCTCAAAGGCTGAAGGAGCAGTGGACCCTATTGAGGGGGAGGCCGATTATCGCTATGTTGGAGTGTATCCCACAGGCTCGCCTGCTTACAAGTACGAAATCGGCAAGAAGACATTGGCAGAAAAGAGCGGGCTGATAGAAGAGGTTTCCGCCGTTCCCGTACCGCCCAATGATCCTTTATACGGGCTTGATGGGCCGTTGGTGAGAATCTGGAACAACTCCAGAGGGGTACTTCTTAAAGATATGGGGCCATAGATAATGAGTTTAAGAGCTTGAAGCCTTCTACGTTGACTTGATACTAATCAGGTCATGTCTATTGGTGAGACACTTGGGGGGAGGAACTCATGATGATAGATTATTGTCATTATTTAAGATTGACGTGAAAGAGTACTCCAAATTATTCCTATACACGATCACTTGGTCAGGAACACTACCCCAAAAACCCGAGGATTAGATAATGTTCATTGATATCAGTGACCTGTGCCACAGAGCCTGGCGCGGTGCATTTCTGCATCGCGTTGCTCACGACTAGAATTTCACAGCAGTACCTGCATATCTTCGGCATCTTCTGTGTGCCTTCAGGAGAATCCTTTATCTGGGACCATGCTCTTATTCTTGTTCGAACAACGAAATTCAGTCTCAGTAGGTCATGAACCGCCCTACCAGGGTTAGTTCCTGTCCTTAAGGAGCATCACGTTCCCAGCTGTTATAGCATAACGCCCGTGGACCTTTTAACTTCGTCCTTGCAAGCGCAAGTTCCCTGTCATCCTGCGGGGCACCTCTCGCACTGATTCTCCGCTTGATTCCCTGAGATATTGTCGCGGATGACCTCGTTGCTGAGAGCGGCATCCTTCCTAGACCGCGGAGCTCTGAGCAGGCTTCGTAAACCTCTTGGTTTCAACCGTGGCATGCAGTCGTTAGGAACTGCGATTTGATTGGATCGTCATTGCTGGCTAATCGCGTTGAATCATTTAACGGCATTCATCCTCTGAGCAATCAAGCTGAAGATGGTCACAGAGCTCATGAAGAGGACTGCGTTATAGAACTGCACGACTTGTTAGTTTGGAGATGTCAAGGAGATGTTTGGCCCAGACTGACTGCTTTCCTAGACACTTCCCTCTCTTCATCATCCGTTCTTGCCTCAATGAACAAACGACGCAGGTTGGGCAATGTGGCCTAGGTGACTTATTAGATGACTGTCATTCACTGGATGAATGGGGATGGCTTACCATATTGTTCTCGTGGTTGTTATTGGCAGTGTTTCAAATCACAGGCCCGAGCCAGATTTCTCAGTGTCTTTTTATTTTTCTAGGGGTTCTAGTCGCTTCGAAACGCCGCGGAGGAGCTGAAAAAAATACAACAGAATGTGAGGTCGCCGGGAGCAGATACAAACGGTGAGGTTGCAATGAGCTCATCTATGTTTACTTGCCTTCGAGCTCGGTACCTTGTACCTCTATAAAGGAGTTTCCGATATAGCGACAAGTCCGGTAGATGCATGAGCATCGCTATGGAGTCGCCAAGGGGGGTAGAGCGACATTCATTTAGCGAATCGGAGCACTGCAGCGCCCAGAACTGCCAGGCTGGCCAGGCTGGGATTAAGGTTAGGGGTGCATTCCACTGCCAGGTACTCCGTACTTCTTCGACCACCTCATCCTCTTGGCGGATAACGACCAGGTGCATTTATTGCATCCCCCGGATACCTACGACGAGCAAAAGCAAGCGGACAGCTGTCGTCGACTCCTGAGACTTTACTTTTGGATGAGCTTGTCCAGGTCCTGATCGGACTGGCTATTTCTCTCATCCGCCAGATCGCCTTTAGCTCCCTCCGACAACCCATCAGACCTCCTTCCACCTCAAGCATCTTCTAACACCATGGCGGTCAATCGGATTCGTGGGGCCTTTGCTGTCCCGAGGAAGGGAGAGACCTTTGAGCTGCGGGCAGGCCTTGTCTCTCAATATGCCTATGAGCGCAAGGAGTCAATCCAGAAGACAATTATGGCGATGACGTTGGGCAAGGACGTGTCTGCTTTGTTCCCCGATGTCCTTAAGAACATCGCGACTGGCGACCTGGACCAGAAGAAGCTGGTTTATTTATACTTGATGTAAGTCTGCACCCGAAGCTAATTCTTTCACCTCGGCGCGGTGTCTAGAGCGACCACTAACAGTAGGCATCAGGAACTACGCGAAATCACATCCAGATCTCTGTATTCTTGCCGTCAATACTTTCGTACAAGATTCCGAAGACCCAAATCCCCTCATCCGTGCGCTAGCGATCCGAACGATGGGCTGTATCAGAGTCGACAAGATGGTGGATTACATGGAAGAGCCGCTGCGGAAGACACTACGAGACGAGTCGCCATATGTTCGCAAGACGGCCGCTATTTGTGTTGCCAAGCTCTTTGATCTCAACCCCTCGATGTGCATAGAGAATGGCTTCCTGGAGTCGCTGCAGGAGTTGATCGGGGACCCGAATCCCATGGTCGTCGCAAACTCGGTCCAGGCGCTTTCAGAGATCACCGAAACAGCACCAGAGACTCGAGCGCTTGTAGTGACACCGGCCACGTTGAAGAAGCTGTTGATGGCTCTCAACGAGTGCACAGAATGGGGTCGCGTCACTATTCTCACCACACTGGCCGACTACCCTGCTGCGGATACCAAGGAGGCTGAGCACATTTGTGAAAGAGTTGCGCCGCAGTTCCAACACGTCAACCCCAGTGTCGTCTTGGCTGCTGTGAAGGTGGTCTTCATCCACATGAAGGCAGTCAGCCCGGAGCTTGTGCGATCATACCTCAAGAAGATGGCGCCGCCCCTTGTCACGCTTGTGGCTTCCGCCCCTGAGGTGCAATACGTTGCTCTTCGCAACATTGACCTCCTCCTGCAGGCCAAGCCCGATATTCTTAGCAAAGAGCTGCGTGTCTTCTTCTGCAAATACAACGATCCTCCCTACGTCAAACTCCAGAAGCTCGAGATCATGGTTCGGATAGCCAACGAGAAGAACTTTGACCAGCTTCTTGCAGAATTGAAAGAATACGCTTTGGAGGTCGATATGGACTTTGTCAAGCGTGCCGTTAAGGCCATCGGCCAGGTTGCGATTAAGCTCGAGAGCGCCAGTCAAAAGTGCGTCAACGCATTATTGGACTTGATCGCTACCAAGGTCAATTACGTTGTGCAGGAGGTTGTGGTGGTTATCAAGGATATTCTCCGCAAATACCCTGGTTACGAGGGCGTCATCCCCACGCTCTGCAAGTATATCGACGAGCTGGACGAGCCAACGGCAAGAGGATCATTGATTTGGATCGTGGGAGAGTACGCTGAGAAGATCAATAACGCCGATGACATCCTGGAAAGTTTCGTGGAGGGTTTCATGGAGGAGTTCACACAGGTTTGTCGACTCATTCCGCATATTCGAGTACCCGGCTAACTTTCAGCAGACTCAACTCCAAATCCTGACTGCTGTGGTCAAGCTTTTCCTCAAGAAGCCCGGCAGCAACCAAGGACTGGTCCAAAAAGTGCTTCAACAGGCTACGACAGATAACGACAACCCGGATATCAGAGATAGAGCTTACGTTTACTGGCGTCTACTGTCAGGCGATTTGGATGTCGCCAAGAACATTGTTCTCTCTCAGAAGCCCGCCATTACCACAACAATGACCAGTCTACCCCCAGCTCTGCTCGAGCAGCTGCTTGCAGAGCTGTCTACTCTCGCATCAGTCTACCACAAGCCACCAGAATCATTCGTTGGCAAGGGCCGCTACGGAGCAGACGAAATCCAGCGCGCGGCCATCCGCGAACAACGGCAAGAGGCGGCCGAGAACCCTATTGCTGCGTCAGTGGCAGCTGTGGCCAACGGCAACACCAACTCACAAAACAACATCGAGAACCTTCTCGATATCGACTTTGACGGCGCTGCTCCCGCATCAGCAGAGCAGCAGAGCAACATCAACACCCCAGACAGAGTTGCCAGTCCTGCAGGAGGTGGTAACTCGAGTGCCATGGCTGATATGATGGGCTTGTTTGACGCTCCTCCGCCGCAGCAACAACAGCAGGCGGCCAACCCGATGAGCCCCGGAGCAGGCGGTGGCGGCATGAACGACATGATGAATGGCTTCGCTGGGCTCGACTTTGGCAACACGGGCTCTGGGCAACCATTGCCGGCGGGCATGCAACTACACCAGCCTGCACAGGGCCAAGCTAGCGAAGGAAACGGGAAGAAGACGAACGAGGACTTGCTTGGGTTGTTCTAGATCTCTGACTAATGGGAGCTGGTTCATTGGGGAGTCCAGGCATGCTGTTAGGAGTAGGTTGATAAATGACAAAGAACGAAGCCAACGAAAAGCCTGCTTCTGCTTTTCTGCTTTCCGCGAAAAACTCATGTATATACTCGAAAAGGGGGTGTCTAGACCAAACACCGATCGCGCCGTCCTCCCACGATGCATCCATGTCTCCGTTTGATGTCATTGCATGGCGTCCTTTTCCCGGCCTGTATAGGGGACGTATCATGCCCTTTATGTGTGTCCATATTCCCGTAGGCTCCGAGTCATCTCCGTGGTCGGCGCGGAAGTGACACTGATGATGCATAATGCTTTTCTCTCCAACCGGGCGGTCTAGTCCAGTCCAATCTAGTCCATTTCAGTCCAGTCCGATTCTGGTGCGGTGTTCCCTTCTCCCATTCACTGCGCAACACCCTCAACCCTGCCACCAACAGTCCCGTCCATCGGCGGACCCTCGCTGCTTCCGCCGGCGGCGGCCCTATCGCGCTCCCACTCGGCCGGGGTCTGGCACTTTGCGCTCCAGGCGTGGATCTGGGCGATCTCGTCCTTGAGGGCGGCGTTGACGAGGCGGTGGCGCTTGAGGGAGGTTTGCTTCTCGAAGGCGGGGGAGACGATTGTCGAGGTGAAGGCTTGACCGCAGCCGCCTGGTAGGGGAAAAAGGGTCAAGGGTTAGTCTGGAGGGAAGCTTGAAGAATTGCATAACGGTGGTTCGTATGGGGAGGTGTGCCGGGCGGCGATGGCGATGCGCCGGGCGACTTTTTGATTTCCAATATGGCGGGGCATGACGTGGGGGGGTTTTGGAAGGAGTGCTATGGATAGGAGCGTACCTGACATATCCGAGATCTCGACGTGAATTGCCTGCAGACGCTCGGTGAGAGCCTGCTTTAGCGAGGCCTCTGTTATTTGGTTTGCCATTTCCTCTCTCGCGTCTGTGTGAGGGTATCTAATGGTTTTCGGGAAAGAGCGACGATCGGGTTCCGGGGTGTGGCAGCTTTTGGGTTGAGAGATTGTCGAAAATCGGAGGTGCTTGGTTCTGCGGTGGGTGTCGCGCTTGGGTCGGCGATTAGATTGATTAGATGGTGGGGTTCTTTTTTGAGTTGTCAGGCGGAGTGGTTCCGTCATTGGGGGGCTTCTATCTCTTTTGGTGACCTTGTTGGAGATGGAGTGATCTCTTATGGTTTGCTTCACTCTCAATATGAGTGCGGTAAGCATGGCTTGCGTTCCTTGGTTGTTCTGATCTCAACGTTCCCTTTGCAACCTTGTTGTATAGAAGTCAAGCATCGTCTGACATTCACTACTGCACTAAGCATTTGGATCACTGAAGTTCCAATGGAGGCAAAGACCCCTGTTGACACCAGACTCTTCACCGCAACGACCTCTGACGCGAGCTTATAACCTCGCGCATTGACTAGATACTTGTGTCCACGTTCAGTGGCCATCTCCTTGGCGGCGGGGGTCATGTCATCTTCCGGCGTATACTTAAAGGCCTAAACTCGCACCACAAAGGGCTTCTTGGGGCCAGGGCAACTTCACTGCGGCGTCATCTTGAGGTACATGGACTGCTCACCTGAGCTCATACGTCTGTAACGCCTTCGAAAATATTCGTTCTCGATTACGAGCAGCGTGTAGCGACTGTATTGGCCCCGAGCCATAATCCTATGTTTGCAGTCTTTAGACGTTCTTTGATATAAAAGAGTAAGGATAAAGCGGTTGGTATTTGCTGCCACCTTCGCATTTGTGACCTCTCATACAGTACGTCATGCTTGGCCCAAAGTGTACTTCTACTCTGTGTCTGTTACAAAGACTTAGTTGGGAAGGAAGTTTTTAAAGGCGAGCTTGCGTCAGAGTTCTTGGCAAGCTTAGAATAAATAAGAAGGTGTTATGTCTGAGTGAGAGTATCTCTTCGAGGGCTAGCTAACCTGAGAACTTCCTTCCTCTCTAAAGCAGGTTGAAATGTTTGTTTACAAGATTGAGCATTCAGCGAGGGCCACCAGCTGCTTTGCAACCGGCCATATACCCTTTCAACCTCAATTATTTTCAATCTGGATTCAGGAGCTACCGCCAGTCTCGGAGGCCTCTGCAAATGGACGTTCAATGCCACACCCTGGAGAAAGAGGGCGCTAAAACCAACGATACCTTACTCAAGGAGCGTCGTAGAAATGCAAAAATGGAAAAAATAACTGATCGTTTCCGAAACCGAGAATCGAACTCGGGGCTATGCCTAACCTCTCACTGGAGATGAGAGGGCATCATGTTGGCCACTACACCATATCGGATTGGTTGTTGAGAAACCCACGAAGAATTTGCACCAAGTAGTGTAGGTGGATTGGCATTCTCCGCTTTCGGGTAGTTACTCGCTCGTCCGTCTACAATGCGGATACCTTCCCAAGCCAGTCACCCGCTGCATGCGAGCCTGCGGTAAACGTGGAGTCTCGTTCACGAATGAAAGCTTGAACATGAGACGTGGTTGAATTGATGATGGAAAAGGGCTTTCTCTGAATGCTGATAGAAGAAAGAGACAGTTGAGAGAGGATTCGTTGATGGCACAAACTTCAACCTGGAAGCAGCTAGGAAGGCTCGACTTAAAGTGGAGGCAAGTGTCATCGCGGGGCTTATGTCATTCAACCAATGCACCAATGACGGAAGATGTCTCAATATGCATTTAATGGATATTTGGATGAAGCTCGAGCTCTGCAACCCCTCTACAACATTACCTCATACTACGACAACCAAATCTCAAGCTTCATCTAGATCTTCGAGTCCATTCTAGATCAATTGCGTTCGAAAGAACTAAAGTCTGTTTGATCCTTCTGTGTCTAAATTCTATAAGAGAGGCTATGCTCACTGGTTTCAGGATATCTATCCCGTCAATGAGCTCCAAGCTTGTTAGGGCATCAGCGCATATAAGTCGACGGTCTTGCGGGTCTACAGCTTCACTTCGGCTTCCACCATTTCAAGTCTCTGCAAAAGCACAAATCTGCAAACCTTGTTTTTCAACAGTCACTCGCCTTCAACAAACACAGCCTGCGACACCAACTCTCAAAATGGCGGCCAGCAACAAGTACTCCTCTCCAGACTTCACAGCCCAAGTGGTGGCTGCCATGCGCAAACAGTAGGTCTCACATGTCTCACGGTTTAATGCAAATCACAACAACTGAACCCCTTCACACAGCTACCCTGAAGAGATCGCCGATAGAAGATGGGACAACGTCGGTCTCCTCCTGGATAATATCGCGACTACGGCAACCGCCACGCCAAAAAGCCCAGTCGTCCTGCTCACCAACGACCTCACTTACGCCGTCGCCGAAGAGGCAGTCCAGAAGAAAGCAAGCGTCATCGTGAGCTATCGTGAGTTCCTCCTAACTCATCCTCCATCCCCTACACCATCTTACAACTCCTCTAGACCCCTTCATCTTCTCTGGCCTCAAGTCCATTACAACAAAGGACCCCCAGCAAGCAACCCTCCTGCTCCTCGCCTCGAACGGCATCGCAGTATACTGTCCACACACAGCCGTCGACGCCGCCCCCAACGGCCTAAACACCTGGCTCGGCGACATCGTCTCCGGCGGGCCCGCCTCCTCTTCCTCCACCGAGGCCCCGTCCGACCGCACGGTGATCACCCCTCACTCCTCGCCCCCAGCCGGCTTCGAGGGCTCAGGCTACGGCCTCCTATGCACCTTCCGCCAGCCCGAGTCCCTCGCCGACATTATCCGGCGCGTGGCCTCCCGCGTAGGTATGCGCCGCGTCATGGTCGCCTCACCCGACCCGTCAGGCATCTCGGCGGCGCGCGTGGGTGCGGTGGCCGTCTGCGCGGGCAGCGGTTGGGACGTTGTGAAGAGCGCGGCGGCGGACGTGGTTGTGACGGGCGAGATGAGCCATCATAATGCTCTCAAGGCCGTGCAGGAGGGCAAAACGGTTGTTACTGTGTTCCACAGCAATTCGGAGAGGGGGTACCTCGCCGAAGTGATGAAGCCCCTGCTTGAGGGAGAACTTAAGAAGGAGGAGCCTGGTGCACTGGTTCTCGTCAGCACGGCTGATCGGGATCCGTTTGAGATTGTGGATATTTCCGAACTGTAAGTTCACGGAGGCCTGAATGTTGAAGTGGAAAAGCGATGTCTTGAAAATCTTAGGAGAGAGTTGAGCTCACCATTGCGGCTAAATACAAGCTCGAAGCAGCAATCTGTAGTGGGCTAACGACGATGCCTTCCTTTCGAACATTTCGAGTCCCAAAGTCGACACCTTTACCACGGCCACGAGTCCATGAGCGTTCTACAAGCCGAGATTGGGTTTGCTGTATCTGTGCAAATGATGGTGCGATGGTCCGATGATCCGCTGAAGCTGTTATGTGTGCTGGAGTGACGAAGTAAACGTGCGAAATCCGTGAATTTTGTCCAGTTCTAGTCGACGAATCTGTCTCTTTTGCTCCAAACCACAAAAGTAGCGCCAAGCCCAAACACCAGATAACTCCATCGCTATGCCCGCAAAACCCTCTTAAAAGCACAACATCAAAACAAGAAGACTCAAGATCTCCCGCTATCCTTTGAAGCCCTCACACTGCTTTCCCCAGAGCCAAGCCTCAGCGCCGCATCCCCCTCTTCCAGACACTCAACCACATCCTTCCCGCCGACCCCCTTCTCTTTCCAAACCTCCAGCAGCCGCCGCGGCATCTCCCAAGCCCGCCTCGCCTCCTCGACCTTGCCCTCCTTGACCAGTCTCCGCAGCTTCTCAGGCGCCCCCAGCACCTCCCTCGCGAGCTCCCGCGTCCTCCGCCGCCGCGCCGCCGCCGCCTCGACTTCGCGCTCTTTGGACGCTGGCGGCGCGACCGTTTTGCGTAGGGCCTCGCGGATCGAGCTCGCCTGGGCGTAGATGCCCGCGATCGCAGGGTCGAGGGTCGAGGCCATGGGGTTTAGGGGGTCCATGTTTGCGCGCATCTGTTTTCAACGTTCCGACGGTTTTCTTTAGCCTTCATCGTTCTTGTACTGATCATTCTTTGTATGTATGTCGCTCGGGGGACTTGCTCTTTCTGGAATTCCTGAAATAGCCAACGATTAAAAGGAGATTACATTTCCCTTGCTTACCTTGCGAATCGTCTCCGTTGCGGATATGAGCTTGGAGTAATTATCGTATACCAACGCCTTCTTCTCCGCATCAAGCGCCCGAATCTCGCCCAGCACACGGGTATATACGCGCAGCAGATCGTCGAGCGTATTCTCCGCCAGCGCCTTGCGCACGTACGCCTCGGCGTCAAAGGACGGGCTGTCGAGCTCGCTGGGCGGGACCTCGGAGTGCTCCGCGTGGCGTTCATGGTCTTCTGTGATTTCTAGTGAAGGGGGCGTACCATTCCCGCCGGCCGCAGCGGCCTTTTTGAGGTTGTAGTACTCGCGGAGGGCGGCTCGGTTCGCGCGCTTTGAGGGTACCCCTCCTGCTGGCGCCGGGCCCCCGGGGCCGGTCCCATTGCCGAAGGTTGCAGAGGAGCCTGGGTTCGGGGAGCTTGTGAGGGAGCGGGGGGTGTCGAGGGAGGGTCTGGTCGAGGATGTTGGGGTGTGTGGTTGTGCTGAGACGCGGCGGGTGAGGGCTGGTGGTTCGCGGGGGGATGCGATGGTAGACATCTTGATGGGAGTAGTAGACGGCTCTGCTGGGGGCTTCTTCTGATTGTTGCAGAATAAGAAGCACAGGAAAAGCTAATTGAGGGCTGATTGGAGGTGTTCTAGGTGCTGTGTCAAAGTTGGGTTGGAGTGACAGATCAAAGGAAGCGAGGCTGACTCTGGGACGACAACGGGGATGCAGGTGATAGGTCGGCGGTAGAGCTCCTGTGGGGAGCGCCCCTGAACTTCAGCTGCACAGCGAGGCTGCGCTAATTGACACATGCTAACGGCCAGGATCTGCAGTGGGGTGCGCCCCCAGGGTTTAGAGATTTTGGGGTAGCTTACCCCACTGAAGCTCTTATTCTTCTACATCTCCAAACTCATACGAAGCAAACCACAAAACTTCCTCTCGTCAACTCAGGATGTAGACACTCACCAAAACCTGAACCGTCTTACGAATATGGACTACACAACCAAAATCCGCTCCGCCCTCCAAACCCAATCCTTCCCGACCCCCTCCCTCCCCTGGACGACAAGCCTGACCTCGCGCGTTCCAACCCCTCCACTCGCCTCGCTCATCGCGACCGCCAAAGCCCGCCTCCTCGCCTCGGACCTCACGACGCCGGGCCTCCTCGACCCCTCCGCCACTGCGATCCTACCCACCTCAAACTCCGAGCTGCCTGAATCGATCCTGCAGCGTGACGTCCCCTGCCAGGTCCTTGACGTCGAGAACTTGAGTCTTTCGCGCTGGGAGCAGGTCGAGGAGCTCGAGGCCGTCGCGAGGGGGGAGCAGACGACGGGGCGGAGGGTCGTGAGGCTTGCTGCGGCTGAGGAGCCCGAGTATGATAATATCGACGATGGCGGCAGCGGCAGTGCTGTTGGAGCGGGTAGAGCTCCGCAACAACAGCAGCAGCAGCCGCGACGGAACGCTACGCATCGGTTGGTATTGCAAGACTTCAAGGGCAATAAGATCTATGCGCTGGAGCTCAGACGGATAGACAAGATTGGGATCGGCAGCATGAATATTGGCGAAAAGGTCATGCTCAAGAAGGGGACGGTTGTTGCAAGGGGCACGGTGTTGCTGGAGCCGGAGAAGTGTGTTATGCTTGGGGGCAAGGTTGATGCGTGGCAGAAGGCGTGGGTAGAGGGGCGGATGGCGAGGTTGAAGGAGGCTGTTGAAGGGTAAAGGTGACATGACTGGAGGAGAGCGAGTCTAGTGTGGCATCACTTGGAGTTCGGCAATGATACCCCTTGCTTTATTTGCTCATGAGAAACTGGGCAGCACACGTTTGTTTTTAATTCTTTATGCTATCCGTGATATGGATTGCAGCAAGCCTTCATAGGTCTCATAAAGAGCTGATTTTTCCATTCATGTCTGGCCAACATTGACCCTACACGTGAACCCCCCTATTCCCCTCCGCAACAACTACAATATCAGTCCAACATATCCCTAGTTGCCGTACACTGCCTCCCGCAGTGAGTTCCAGCCATCAGGCTTCCAAGGAGCCAAGAAAATGGCCGTCTGGGCATCCGCCGCAACTCCCGTCCCAGCATAGGCTTTTGCCAAACTCTCTGCCTCAAGGGTACCTCTTGGCGGCGCTCCCTTCTTGGCCACCGTCAACGCCATCGCAGCAGCATGCTGCTCCCCGCTGAACTCCGCCAAGTTCGACCAACCATGAGGCAGGTGGGGATAGAGCATAATATCCGTCTGGATCTGCGTCATGACATCCTCCTCCGTGCTCGTGTCCCCGAGCTTCGCGATGGCATTGAGAACCTCGCCGATCTGCGACTGTTCCGCGTCCCCGACGTTGTGGCTGGTCCGAAGACCCTGCAGCTCGGACACGACGGCCTCGACCGACTCCTCGTCGTTGTCGAGGATGGCAATGACGCCGAGCAGGAGGACGGACTGAACGTGATCGGGCTGCTTCTCAATGACTTCGAACAGTGCGCCCCGGGCCTTGTCACGGGACTCTTCGGCGCCTGTGGCCCAGAGTACCTGCGCGAGAAGGCAGACGGCGTCGGGGTTGTTATTGGACTCCTCGAGGGCTGATTCGAAGCACAGGAGCGCCTCGTTGACGTCTTCGCTGTAGTACTGCGCCAGTCCGACGGACAAGTGCGCCGAGAGACGCGCCTTCTTGCGCTCTTCCTTGCTGAGCTCGTTGTCGGACTCGTCAGCGCTCAGCTGGATGGCCATCTCGCCGCACTCGATTGCCTGCTCGAACGCGCCCGAGGCGAGGTAAGATCTCGCCAGGTCGGTCTTGGCTAGCGCGAAGTGCGCGAGGGCCTGCGGGGATTCAGTGACTTCGTAGTCGGACTCCAGGATAACGCAGATCTTCTCCAGCATCTCTACCGCCTTGCCGGTATCGTGGGTCCGCTCCAGAAACATGGTCGACAGGTGTCCGTACGCGAGGTCTTGGGGCTTCAGACTGTTGAGCTGACCGAGAGCAAAGATGGGCTGGATCAAGGAGGCGACGTTGGCGGATGTCGTGCCCAGGATGAAGTCGAACACCGCCACTGAGTACTGGCGTCTGGTGAGGACTGAAGACGCCTCGGCGATCTCCATAGCGTGCGTGAACAAGCCCCTAGCCTCCTTGACCTTTCCGTACAAAAGTGCCACGAAACCCTGGCCGAGCCACGCGTGCGCGTAGTCGGGGTCGGTCGATTGCGCTCGGTTAAAGGCCTCATTCGCGAGCTGAACGTCGTTCTGGAGAAGAGCCAGGGTACCGAGGTTAGTCCAGGTTGCCGGGCTTCTCTCGTTCAGGTGTAAGCTGCGAACGAACGAGTGCTGCGAGACAGCCGGGCTGACCTCGCTCGTTACAACACCCAAGGAGTTCCAGAAATCCGAGTTGCCGGCTTCGAGCTCGATGGCTCGTTTGAAGCACTTCATGGCGGTTTTCAGATAGACGCTCGACTTCTTCCTTATGCTTGAGGGTAGGCAAATGTGAGCTCGGTGCTCGGCCCAGCCAAGGTTGTAGTATGCCACTGCTTGGGCATGCAAGTCGTTTGCGGAAACGTGGATTGCCCGCTTGTGACACAAGATTGTTGCGTGGATGCATCTTGTCAGATCAACACCAAGTCTCTCGTCTTCAGAGAACAAGCCCTTGGCAGAGATGACCCCAGTTCCGATGTTATCCACGTCAGCAAAGAGGTCATATGCCTCCTTGTCGCCACTGTCGATGAGTGTCATGATGACATCTGCTGGGAAGTCGACCGCTCGGCTTTGTACCGCAGAAAATACGGAACAAGCATCAGCGAGCGACTTCCAGAAGTTGAAGGTCTCGGTGATGCTGGCAGCGGCCTTAGAAGCAAAGTCTATCGTGTCGATGGCAAGGTGCACCGCCTTGCCGAACAGACCCTTTTCGACACTGTCAAGGGCGCTGTCGACCATGGTCTGTATCAGGGCAATGGCAACACCATCCTCATCAGGGCGGCTCTCGATGACGCCTTGGTAGAGAGCGATGGCCTCATCGAATTCAGCCAGCTCACGCTTAACATTAGCAAGCATGTACTTGGTGAACCAAGTGTCGCCCAGAGTCTCAGCAGGCGCAGTCTCCTCTAGTTTCTGCGCGTTGAGAATCGCCTTGGTGGCTGCGATGTACCGGCCGGAGGAGTAGTAGCTTTCGCCCAGGCCAACCCACGAGTGGTAGTCCTCTGGGTGGATTCTGAGTGCAGATTGGAAGGACACAATAGACTTGTGAAAGTCCTGCTTGTTCAGCTCCGCCACACCAAGGGCGGAGAAAGGCCAGCTGACGCCCTTTCTCTTGGAGCCCGGGGGCGGCTTCACCTTTCCAGAGTCAACCACACGTTGAGCCACGAGCTCGACTCTGTCCCAGTCGCCCTCGTCGGCAAAGGACTCGGCAAGACGTTTGGCGGCTTCGACTTCGGAGGCAGAGAGTTCCACAGCCTTCTGGAAGCAGCGTCTGGCTCTCTTCTTGTCCTTGGCGTAGTCGGCGTAGTAAACACCGAGACTTGTGTAGGCGGGCGCAAAGTTCAGATTGTTCTTCAAGGCGTCCAAGAAGTACAAGTAAGCGCCAGTGCGGCTCTTACGGGCTGCCTTGGATGTGTCAATGTTCCAAATGCAAGAGCCCAGACGGTACTGTGTTTGTGCGAGAAGTTCCTTTGAAGGCGTTGGCAACTCCTCGATAAGGGGCAGCGACTCCTCCAGCTCTGCCTTTGCAGTCTCATAGTCTCCCTTGAGTGCCTGAACCCAGGCAGATTCGGTCTTGACCCTCAGATTGGACGGATCTCTCTTCAGAGCACGTCCAAAGAAATCGATAGCGTCGTCGTAGTCCTCCTCTTCTTCGTAGATGAGACCGACACCAATCAATGCTGGAGTTGACGACGGATCATGTGATAGAACCCCTTCAAACAGCGACTTTGCCTCAGTGTGGTGTCTAGGCGACTGAAAGAACACCAAGCCTGTTGCCAGGTACAGAGAGAAGGCATCATTGGTATTCTGGAACGTCATGCCAGTCTTGTTTCTCTCCGTCTTGACGTGTCCCATCGACTTTCGCATCAGCTCCACCGTCGTTTCGTGTTCCTCCAAATGCTGGTAGTACTCTCCCATCAAACGATGAGCGAACAGTGAGTTGGACGTAGTGATGCCCTCCGTCATCATCAGGATTCTATCCTGTTCTGTGAGCGGCACCATAGAAACACCACCTCCCTCATCGTCCTCGCTCTCTTCCTCAGTTTCCTCTGCTTCAAGAGCTGCGGGTGCTGGCTTGGGGAAGGGAGAAATGCTACTTGTTAGAAAGCCGGTGATGACTTTGTAGAGATCGGTCTCTGGGAAGAATGAGCAATAGTCTCTCAGCATATTGACGTCCCATTCCTTGATCTCTTTTGCGTCCTTGTAGTCAATGGCAATCTCCCAGGCAAGCCGGAAGGGGTGCTTGATGATGACCATGTCAAGCGCCAGTTTCAGGACAGCTTGAAGAGCCTGGCCCTTTTCTGGGCCATGTAGTGCAACCAGCAGACGGTCATAGCAGTACTGAAGAAGCTTTTCTTCATACTTTCGCCGGAGTTCGTCATCATTTGTCCAGTTGATCAGCTGATGGTAGACGAACTCCAGCTTGCTCTGAGCCATGACTTCACGCTTGACCTCAAGAGTGACCTCGGCCACGCGTGCGCCAATCCTTGTCCGTCGTTCGCCAATGAGGGTGTTTATCCGCTTCTTCTCATCGATCTCGATTATTTGTGCCATGGTCTCGTAGGTTTTGGCCGGGTGCGGGACGCGACCTTCGAGAACAGGGTAAATTGGACTTCCGGGAAGGATGACACTGAGAGCTTCGACGTATTGCGACGTATCCCCTTGAGACCTCGCGAAGTCAATGAACTTGTCAATGACATCTTGGCACTTGTACATGTCTTCTGCATCTCGGTAAATCTCAGCTAAGCTGATGGCGGCTTGCTGGTAGGCGGTTAAGCGTTTGCGATCCTGCTTCTCGTAGAGCTTGATGAGACCTTGCCACGCCTGACTGTCCTTCGGTCGTAGTGAAGCCGCAGACTTGTAAGCTTTCTCTGAGTCATCGACGCGGTTCTTCTTGTCGAGGGCAAAAGCGAGGAAGATGGTCCTGTGAGCAGTGTCAGCAGCAGCCTTGGTTGTGGAGGCGCGGGAAATCCCATGAGCCCGTACGCTTGGTAGTTCTTTGGCTCTCGCTCAAGAACCTCAGTCGCCTTCTGGACAGCGTCATCCCATTTTTGCTGCTTCACAGAGTCGCCAATGGCTTTGAGTACGGCCTTGGCCCCAGACATCGTGGCTAGTGACAGATATCGTGAATCATGAACGTGAGGTATTCTTCCAAAGGTGGGGCATCACCGTGGCGCTGGAAGGCCGGGGGCGGTAGAGAGAAAGAAGGCAAGGACAAGAAGAAGATGAGAACAGGAATGTAGAAATTACAATCGTCTCGTATATTGATCCTGGCCCGTTTCGTGTCGGTGAATGAAGTGAGATTTTCGTTGGGGCCTTCTCTTGCAGTAAACCCTCGTATGAGAGGCTCAGTGAGGCATGAGCTGGTGGTGAGCGCTACAGAGGGCAGTGCCCCACCATCAACACCTCCCTTATTACATCATGCCCCGCTTTGAGCATAGCAGCTATGGCTTCCCGATAAGATAAGGAATACAGTCCACCTCCCGAGATGGAAGGCTTTCAGATCACGGTTTCTCTACGTTAGGTATCTTGAGTCATTCCAAGTATCCATCAATAGCCTCGCCATCTTCTCATTCACATTCACTGACTTAATGTTTGCTTCGTAACTTCGAGACTTCAATGAAATCGCCATGAAACATTCAAATCTACATCTCTAAAGCAGGGGTATCTCGACAAGAACATAACCAACACTACAGATACACGCGACTATTCCCCTTCCGGAACCGAGTCAACACCTGAGTGGGTTGACTCTGACTTGCTCCAAAACCGCATGAGAGTGCTCCTCCGACCTGATCCATGGGACGCGTGTTCACTCGAAGTCGATGACCTGGTGAAGATGGTGGATGTAGATGCATCGCTAGACTTTCGAGACGACGTTTGCGAATACTGTTGAAGAAGTCGCTTAATCTCCGACCCAGCCAACCCGGAATTGGAAGCCGCCTGAAAAGCGTTTCTGCCATTGGCATCAGTCAGACGAGGATCGGCTCCGTGAGAAAGCAGCACGTCGATCATTCCGATCTTGCGGGAACTTCTTGTTGCGACAACCTGGATCGCGGCAATCAATGGAGTGCACACGTTATTGTTGCTCAAATAGGGAGAGGATGTCTGCGCTCTCCTCGTCTGGTGGCAAATATTCGGGTCGGCTCCTTCGCCTAGCAAAAACCGGACCATTACCTCGTTTCCCATCTCGCAGGCCATATACAGCGCCGTCTTTCCCGCATTGTCAATGAGATCCAAGAGACTGGGAGTACCATGGAGGAGAAGTCGGGCAACGTTGACACCACCGGATTTGTTCTGGCATCGGTGCAGGGGACTCAGACCTGCACTATCACGAACGTCGGCCCGCGCGCCGGTCTGCAATAAGAGCCCAACACTGTCACGGTTTCTGGTCGACGCGGCCAGCAGCAAGGGCGTCGGCAGACCGACATTGCCCCCGTTCTCGAGACTGACCACATGCCCCACCATTTGCCTCAGTACCTCGAGGTTTTCGTCTTGGATGGCCTTGTGGAGCGGCGAGGTTCGTGTCATGAAGTCGCAAGTATCGAAGCGGAAGCCAGTCGGGTCATCGATATTGAAACCGTTCTCTCGACACCATTGAAAAGCCTGAGAAAGCTCTCCCATAGATGATGGTCTTCTGGCGCCTGGCACAGAGTCTGAATCAGGAGGCGATGCCGGACGACTTGTTAACGGAATGATGGCGGTGTTGACCCAAACCTCCACACCACGCGCTTCGTCAAAAGCCCCGTCAAGCTGCAGAGCCTTTATGTACAAATCTGCTGTCTCTTGTACCAACGCAACCGGGATGGGCTCTTGATCCTTTCTGCCTTCGAGAGCCCGGCTGAGAAACGTCTTCGCCCTTATCAAATCGCCGAGTCTGATGTAGAGGCTCCCGAGGTCATGATATAAGCGACTTCGTCGTTCGACATCCCGAGATTCCTCAGGTTGCTTCACCTCCTCTCGAAGTAGATCATGCAAAATCCCCTTCGCCTCGGCAATTTCCTCTTCGGTTTCATTTCTAAGAAGGATATCGGCGAGTCGTTCTTTCATGACAGCTTGTTGAGCAAAGCTAAATTCGAAATCGTATCCAGGCTGACTGAGCTGTTCTCGGATTTGGATGCCCCTCTTCTGATACAGCGAAGCCCGGAGAAATATACCGCAGTCGACCAAGCGGCCGACTATTTCTTGGTTCGCATCATACTGGTGACTGAGGATGTCTTTACTTGGCCCGTCTGGATGTTCGGGCTCTGGGTCCCAGTCGTCTGAGTCAACGTCCCCTGAGGCTTGTTTAGAGTCCGGGTCCTTTCCTGATGCCAATTTGGTGAATGACGAGTTGAATGACAAGAACGAGTGGTGTTGATCTGCATTTTGCAAAGTGACTGCGGCTGCCACTTCGTCGGCCGACATTCGCCAGGCTTGGATCTCTTTCGATACAGAGAGAGATTCATCCAGCCTCGTATCAGTTTCGTCGTCCCATTCAGTGGGCGATCGTCTCTGACCCGTGCTCGTATGAGAGATGAGGTTCGCAGCCCGGATTTCGTCGGTCAAGTTTCGGATTGCAACATGCACCTGGTCTTGAGACTTTTGTTGAGTCCATAAGGAACCGCTGCCAGAGTCAGTCATCGGATCCACCAAAACGTTATACTCGAAAGGGCTCACACACAGTGACAAGGTTATCAGACTGAGTTGAAGAACTTGTGTATACGAGGTAATATGAGAAACCAGATCGCGGATTACAACCGACTTCAACGTCATGGCAAAGCTCGCCCTAGCTTTGTCGATGGGACCCGGTTTTTCGTCGAGTTCTGGCAGCTCTTTCTGCAGTCTGTCAAGCGATGAGCGGCATGATTTTAGAATCTGGTAAATATCTTGATGGTGTTCTCTCTCAAAAGAAAGTTGTTGCGGATGCTGTTTGAGAATTCGAGCTACATTGCGCAATGCGGCATGTAAGTTTCGAATGGTCTCGTGGAATTCGCAGATGCTCGATGAGATAGCTTTGCTCTCTTGAACGAATTTGCCGGTGCCTTCTACGATCTTTCCGGCTATCCCGACCATCTGCAGAGCAAAGGCGGCAATCGAAAGGGGATCCATCTTGATTCAGGTTTACAGAGCTGTGGCCGACTGCCTGGTTATTCAATCACCTAAGCTGCAGCCGCGTCCGTTGACTTCGCGGTAATCGATGTAGAGGGGCCTCGGGCGTTGAATGATGAACATGGTATGGGGTCGTGGGACGGGCTTGTTGTGCAAAACGAAGAGCATTCAGGTGAAGAAGACGTAGTACCTAGACGACCGAGTAGTGGAGGGTAGGCATTGAACACCCTCCTCCATCCGTCGATGAGGTAAGTCTGCCTGTGTTCCCCGCGATCGACAAATGATACCCCCAAATGAGTCTTACTCGTTGAGACACACATCGCTGCCAACAATCTGGGGGGCATAGCCACGAAGAGACACATCACGAGCGTAGGGCAGGCTGCTGCCGCAGTCGGTGTAACCCAAGTTTCAGCTGGTCCTGCCAGGCTGGCTCCTCCAGAACTCCTTCTTAGATGCTGTGCCCCTCCCACAAGTCGATGGTCTCACTTTGCACTCAACCCGGGATTGAAGTTTCTTTCTGCCCACTCGAATGGCACGCAGCGACTCTATACAACGGGCCCCCGCGGGGAACCTCACATGACCGGGGTCTACTCCGTAGCGTGGGAGCTGATGCAGTAGGCTTATTCCATTTCAATCCCGGTTGCCAAGCTTCACCCCGACGTTGTACCCCGAGCCTGTGGCGCAGCGGAATACCAGGCGAGAAACAAGATGTGTTCTGTTCACACTCAAGACACGGCGATGACAACGGGATGGCTGGGCGATCTGCACCTTGCAGCCCCAAACTCGCGTTGTGGACATCGATTGGCTTGAGCAAAGCCACAGTGTAAGTGCTGCCTGCTTCCATGTTCGGGTTTTGAGTACAAGAAACGCGGCGTATGCGGGTGAGAGCAGTTGCGAGTGCCCCAAACGAGGCTTCTCCAGGGCTTTCACGGCTTCTAGAATGACACATTGAAACCCCAAGAATCCATCTCGTTGGCCAACGTCGTCCTCGATATTTCAATAGTCTAGAACGTGCCTCCATGGTCCGAACAGTGCCACCCGCGGTCAGGCTGAAGTCAGTTCCTCGAAGCTTCTTCCATTGCCTTGTAGGAGGGTGGATGGCAGGGAGGTAGAAAGGATTGACTCCGCCTCCACACTCACAGCCCTACATGGGGGACTAGATGCGCCCTCGCTTCCCTCTACTCCGCATCCGGTATGTACGAGTAGACAAGCACACAAGTCAACGGGACGACGATCGCTCACCCGAAGGATGGAGATGACGAACCCGTGCATGGCTGCCATCTGATTGTGCGACGGCAGCCGAGGAAAACCTGCGAGACAGGTCTCAGTGAGACGCGGGACGCGGAACGCTGTTACTCGATCCTATTGGGGGCCGTGAGGTCTTAGATGTTGGGCTATGGTTCGTGCCGTTTCGCTCGCACGACCATAATGACGGTGCCTTATATTACTAGAGAGCCTTGCCTTCGTTGACTTAATACCCGGGATGGGCCTGGCTCGCGACTGATCTCAGCCCTATGCTGGCTACTCGTGATGCTACCTATCGTGCCATTGTTGATGAATGCCAATTAAGCCCGCAATTTCTCGGTACGATCATATTGACAACCGTTATGTCTGATATCGACACTCTCGGCCAGGCCGAGTCTCATTCTGGTCATGACGTGGTGACCAAACAACGAACCCGTCACCGACAAATCAGCAACCGGGCGGTAATCGAAAACCCTCTCTGTAAGATCCATCCATAAGAGTTCCAGACTAAGCCCCTCACCTTCCAAAGACAATTCCTCTTACTGACTCAAATCTCTCCTCTAGCTCACTATACCGACGAACAGCTTGAGGCAGACGTCACCTCTTTCGCGGAGAGGCATCTAAACGTCGACAAGGGGCGTATGATACGGGCTGCGCGCGTAGCAAAGGACATCAAACTCTACGACGAAGTGGCGAGAAACCCAAGCGATGCAGCAGGAAAGGAACTTCCGGTCCAACTGACGCCAGAGGAAAAACGGGCACTTGTTCGGGAACGCGATGTCCCCTTCAGCGAAAAGGGGATGTGGACCATCATCATCACAGTCTCCCTTGCAGCATTTTTACAAGGTAGGTAAATGAACGCGTCTTACCTCTTGGGCGTGATCTCGGTCATGAGCTGATGATGACTATCTAGGCCATGTGCAGGCATCATTCAACGGCTCGTCTCTTTACGACACGGAGTTCGGACTGAACACGACAGCCAAGAAGGACGACAGCAGCGCGACGGGAAGTCACGCCGAATTAGGCATCGACGACTGGAAGCTGGGGGCAGCAAATGCGTCTCCTTTCCTGTTCGCCGCGGTGCTGGGCTGCCCTCTTGCTCTGCCGGTAAACCATTATCTAGGTCGTAAGGGGGGTATGGTGGTAGCTGCTTTTCTTATCTTGGTTAGCTCTATTGCCTCGGCCTTTGCGACGAACTGGGTGCATTTATTTGGCATCCGGCTGGTGAATGGGATAGGTGAGTTGAAACACGTCTCCTTCTCAAGATATCGCATGGCTAACATAGGGGAATAGGTATGGGTCTCAAGGCCGTCAGTACTCCTATCCTCGCTAGTGAGACCGCGGTCGGCTTCTGGCGCGGTACCTCCATTCTCGCATGGCAGCTATGGGTAGCGGCAGGCTTAATGGTCGGATTTGCCTTCAATTTGATATTCGACACAGCAGCCAACAAGCGGCTTACCTTCCAACTCATGGTTGGCGCGCCAATGGTCCCCGCGCTTGCGCTGCTCGTTCTGGTCATTTGTTTCTGTGAAGAGAGCCCACGGTACCTGATGCGCGTGTCGAGTCCGCAATATGATCCCCAGCGGGCTTACGAGATCCTCAAGAAGTTGAGAAACACTGAGCTGCAGGCTCTGCGGGATATCTACCTCGTACACAAATCCATTGAGCAAGAGGAAGTGCCGGGCGGCGTCGCAAACCTCAAGTACATACCGGGATTCGTCTCGACCGTGGTGGGATTTCTGCGACAGTGGAGGCAGCTGTTTCTTGAGAGGCGGTTGAGGAACGCATTAATTAGTAGCTCGACCGTGGCGCTTGCCCAGCAACTATGTGGTAAGATGAGCAACCCCTCAAGTGTGGTCAGGTGTAGATGAGAGCCCTGCTGACTGGATAAAACAGGAATCAATGTGCTGGCTTTCTACTCAGGCACACTCTTTAGTCGTGCCGGCGCGGTGAAGCGGGATGCCATGTTCTTCAGCCTGGGTTACGGAGCCGTCAATTTCATCTTCGGCCTCCCGGCCATCCGAACGATCGATACACTGGGCAGACGGAAATGGCTGATTCTGACTCTACCCGTAATGGCACTCTTCATGCTTCTCGCAGGCGTCTCCTTTAACATACACAACCCGGATGCCAAGGTACCGGTGGTGGCCCTGTTCATCCTGCTGTTCGCGGCCGCGTATTCACCCGGTCTGGGACCTATCCCATTCACCTACGCGTCAGAGAGCTTCCCGCTGTCGCACCGTGAAGCCGGGGCCGCGTTCGCCATCGCGGTGAACCTGGGCTTCGCGGGTCTGCTATCCGTCTTCTTCCCGCGGATCAATTCCGGGCTGGGCGACGGCGGCTCGCTGTATCTATTTGCGGGGCTGAATATCCTAGCTCTGGTCATGGTGTTTTTGCTATTGGAGGAGACCAAGCGGCGCAGCCTGGAGGATCTGGACCTAGTATTCGCTGTGTCGAAGCGGCAGTTCGTCAAGCATCAGGCCGTTGAGTACCTACCGTGGTTCTATCGGCGTTATGTCTTGCGGAGGCGCGAGTACAAGCCGAGTCTATATCTTGATCTGATTTGGGGAACTGGAGGCGATGAACATGAGCGGACGCGAGTGAGAGATCCGGGACGGATGAACGGGGAAAGGGATAGTTCCGAGTCGGACGCAGATAGCAACCACGCCTGAGGTAAGGTTGGAGAGTGTGTGAATGGATAGACGATGAATTCTGGGGATTGCAACAGCGTTGTGGCTGAGTTTACGAAAGCGAGAAAGCGAAGTAATGGTTTTCTGCTTAGCTCTTTGGCTTGGACCTGGCCCGCAAATCCTCGTTGGTTAAACGCGTATACGAGTCAAGGTTTGTTGGACTTGTTTCGTGGCAATGATAGCTGGCTTTGGTATGATTCGTAGAAGTAACACAATCGAATACACATAGGCTAAACTTATACGAATGATGCAGTTGAATTGTTGAAGAGTGGTGTAGTATATCCTAATTGAATCGCGGTGCGTGTTACGTGTAAGTGAGGTGCTCGGTGAGGAAGCTGGACCTTACTCCGGAGCCAGCGGGCCGTCTAGGCCCACCTCTACCTCGTCGAACCCCCGACTATTTGGCGGCGTCAGCCCGGAGTTCAAGCGAGAGCCGACGTCGCGGTGCCTCCGCCTGATCCCCGCTAGAATCCCTTGGGAAGAGCTCCCATTGGCTTTGGGGGTCACAGGTGGAACACGAAAACGAGCGGGGGTGGCAGGTGCAGTCACGCAGACGCTGTTTCCCACCTCACAGGCTGATGCTGCATTGTCCGGGACTCTGCAGGGCGTTCAGATGGAGGCTGCGGCGCTGCGCTATGGTAGGCGTGACGTTTGTGTCTTTCTTTAAAAGCCCACGACGGTCTGCTTTTCGTAGTTGTCGAGCGAGCCTAGTACATGTTTTCACCCTCT